GTTCCAAGGAACATATTAAATTAAATTATTTTTTATTCCTGAGACTTTGAGGAAAGAGGTGGGTGAAATGGGGGGGACTTTGGCAAATTAACCGCCATTAGCCTGACAAGATTTGTCTCGTTAGAGGGGCTTAAACAGCAACACCGTTAATGTGGGGGCCAAGGAAGAAATTTTATTAAAGCTCATCCCTCTTCATCCGCCCTGTGCAAAGGCAGCCAGTTCGTTATTGTAATTGCATGGCGGGCTGAGACCGGCCCATTAGTATCAATCTGAATAAGGATGCTAAAGGCTAAGGCGTGAGAATATGTGTAGTGCAGGACGTCTTAATAAGCTGTCTGCAGCCGTGCGAGACTGCGAAACAGTTGGACCCGGCCCCAGCTTGCCATTTATTAAACTAATAAATTTAATTGAATTAGCCTAATTCAGCCCTTGTCTGTCCACATTCAGTTTTTTTTAATCAGAGCAAGAAAGCTTTTTCCACCATTTTAAACATTATTATGTTGTTCAGGCATTATGCTTTTCTCAATGCTCATTCTGAAGGTGCACATGCTTTATTTTAGCAGGTCAAAGTTCAGATGTAAGGATCACAAACAGCATGCCAAAGAAGTCCCAAGTGCAAAATCCACACAAAACTATTTCAGCCTCACTGACACCAGAACTTAACCAGAAAAGGAGGGTCTGTATCCTGAATAGGAAGGAGATGAAGCAGACACAAAGTGGTAACCAGCGGAAAATAAAAGAAGTTGAGGCTAGAATAAATGCAGTTGTAGTGCCACTTCAGAAAGCTATACGAAGAGATTCGGTCAGACACTCGACCCAGAAACCCTCAGGGAAGGAAAGGTCAAGAGAAGTCTCGTCTTCAGAGAGGGAGAAAAGAGCTAGTGAAACAAGCACATGTATAAACGTTAAGCCTTTGCCTCCTACACCTGTTGAGGTACTAAATGACAGCTTAGAGATCCAAAAAGGTAGGAAGAATCTGCTCATAAGTCATTAAATGGATAGCATGTGCTAATATCGTATTATTTAGTGCTGTTTCTGTGATCTTATGAACAGGCATAAAGGTTCAGAGATCATATTTGAGGAAGAACAGGCAGCCAAAGAGGCTTGAAAGGGCGTCTGAGGGCAGACATTCCCAAACACAGAGGTTAGCCAAGTGTTGGCAGTCTGCTGTGGATGCTTGGTGATTTTACTTTTCTTGTCACATGAAGCCTTTCTCTTCCAGTGCCTACCCTGGTAAACTCTGAATGAACATGAACTGAAGTCTTTAAGTAAAGGTTAGTAAACTAGTTTAAGACTCTACATAAAACACACAAATTTATATTCCCTTAATTTAGCAATTTTAAGTGATCAAAGCTTGGAATTTTGATCAGTTGAGCTTTTTGCTTGGTAAGTGTTGTGTATGTTTGTTGTACACTATTGGTAAATAGTTTGGCATCATTAAGACCTTAATAAGTAAGACTTGACTTAAAAGTCTTACCAAGGCTGCATTGATTTGATATTTAAAGTTTTCTACTTTAATATACTTAAAAAGTAATTCATTCCTAGTCTCTAGTTCCTATTGTAGTCTGTTTTCACATCTATTCTAATAGGTTAGTCTTTCTAATAGGTCATAATATGAATGCAACACAGAGCAGTTTATTTGAAAGCATGTTTTTCAGTATCCTCTGTCTTCTTGTTCAGAGCACACCAAGGTTTAGATGGCAGTGCCCAAACCTGTTCAAATGAACCACAGTAATGAAGCAAATACCCTTATATTTGACCTTTTTCTGGATGGATAATAATTTTTGTTCCTAGAATAAGTCTGAATCTAAATTAAAATTTGTCCTAATGGTTAGAGAATTGGACTTTTAATTTAATGGTAGCTGCTTTGAGTCTCTGCACCAGCATGAATTGTAGGTGGGGGAAGTAAATAACCAGCACTCCCTTCCACCCTCAATACCATGCCTGAGATGATTCCTTTAAGCAAATGCACTAAACCCCCAACTGACCCCAGAGCCCTCTTTGAGGAAAATAATGCATTTAATTTATTTTGAAATAGGGCCGTAAGACGTCAGCAAAAAAAGTAAAGAACTGTGAATACCCCCTGAATACCTCTCAAACACTATATAAAAGTAGATTTTGCAAAATAGTTCTTTTATTTGAATCAAACCAACACAAGAAAAATTGGCAAAACAATAATACTGTTTAAAAGATGAACTTTTTGCTATTTGTGGTATCAATATCAGAACAACAGGCCATCTTGTCTTTATTTTAAATGAAGTCACTGAGGTCTTTTGCTTTTTCATATTTTTCTGCAACCTGTACACACATAAACATGTCTTCTTTTACAACGCCATATGGAACACGTTCTTCAAATTGGGGGAAAAAAATCCTTATTGATTGGAGGTCCTTGAGCACTAATTAAACCAGAACCAGACAGGAACAGGAAGCCATGAAAGTAGCATTTGAAAAACACATAAAATTGAATAAAGACAATTTATACATTATTTGTATGTAATACTAATGACATTCTATCAGAGTTCTTGATCAATAATGGAGTAAATTAGGTTTATTTTCTGTGAAATATTGATCAGGATCATGTAAGAAGGGCTTATTGGCTTGTTGTTATTAGGCGATTATAGGCTGCACCGCTACACATGAACATAAGTTTATTGATCCACAAAGTCTGCTCTGGTTGAGTAATCATTACTTTTGCGCCTAGCGTGTCTGGACCGAGATGACCCATTAACTGAAGGCAACGCTTTATAGTGTCAAAAACACTTCTTGTGTCATGCGTCTTATCAAAAGTGTCTGGATAGGATGATTTAAAAAAGAAAAAAAAATTGAATTTAATCTTCTTTATTGGGTTCTTTAAGGATGTATCAAAATGATCATAAAGACATTCAAATATTTACAAAAGGGTTCTGATAAATCTTATTTGTGTGTTTTTAATTAAGGATTAAATTAATCAAATAATCTTCAAGAAATAAATATCACCAAATTAAATTATCAGCAAAATAATTTTTAACATTGATTATAAGAAATGTTTCTTGAGCAACGTCAACAAAAGACTTTCTGAAGGTTCATGTGTTACAGAGTTTTGGCTGTTAAAATTTAGCTTTGTCAAAACAGGAATGCATTTTAAAGCATATTAAAATATATTTTTAATTGAACAAGATTTTTTACTATTTATTTTTGACTAAATAATATAGCTTTTAGGCCTGTTCACACTGCACAGACAATTGGCAGCAATTGGTGTTTAGGATGTTGTGAAAAAAAATCAATGCTGTGTTAACACTGCTCCAACAATAGCCACGCCACACACAATCCTTAAATAATTAGTTATAAGATCCTTCTTGGGGCTAAAAATACATTTACGTGAAGCCTCTCTCTTTCTGGTCAAATTTTAAGTCTGAGTTTGTTTAAAAATCAAATAACACTGCTCAGACGTTCCACGATCCAGCAAATGCAGATTATTGAATATGTTCAGTCGGGTGAAAACAGACTCCACTCCATGGCAACAGATACTGACAGGAGCAACACACTGATCCAACAAACTCAGACAGTTTTGTTTGTTGGTGTTCATCTGTGTGGTGTGAATTGATCTTTATTGAACATAAGAGCAATAAATCCCTAAACTTTAGAATAGACTGTATTTAAATTATTTTAATTTTTCTTTTTGCTGATACTAAGACAACAGTTAAATTTTATTTATAATTATGAATAGCATATATTAGCATCTTATCTTTTTTTTTTTGTCTGAGAAAAGGTCATTAAACCCTAAAAATCTTGTTTTTAAATCCTACAGCTCAATCTAGGCATTAAACAATGAAATTATATTATGCTTATGGCACTATATATACAATGCTCAGCATAAACAAGTACACCTCTCACAGATCTCTTTTAAATCAATATTTTCTACAGGATGCTTCACAATAATATATTTGTGGACAAAATATATGTGTAGTCCAAACAGAGGACTGCACAAGACATCAGTGAGCACACCAAGGCAAAAAACTAATGTAACTCTATTCTGGTATACAGTTGAATTCAGCACCAGTGTGAGGCGTGCGTACAGCCATATCGCACTGCTACGAGTGTGATATTGCGTTTATACAACAGTTTGACGGCATAATTGTGTATATAAAAACAAAATCAAACATGGAGAGTCTCAAAAACCCTTTTGTATGAGGAACTACTTTCTTCCGGATTCAAATCATAAGCTGACAGTTAAACAGTTGAGTGTGCATCTTTTAAACTTTAGATCTGTAGTGTCTGCTTTTTGCTGGCTGTATGTGGGCGGAGTAATACACAAAGGGTAAAGAGGCTGTAGGAGTTCTGATATTGCAGAATATCGCACAGCTATCAGCCAATCAAATTTGAGAACCTGACAGAACTGTTGTATAAATATATATATATATTAGTGCTGTCAATCGATTTAAAAAAATTAACTGATTAATCGCATTTAAAATACTGAAAATTGTAATTTTGGCTTTTCAAATGTAAAATTAATGTAAACGCAAGACAAAAACTATTTAAATTCAAAATATAATTGTTTATTAGAATTAAAATTCAAAATATAAATATTTAATAGAATTTTTGTTTAACTTGTAACACAGATTTCTTCATGTAAACAACATACCCACAATAAACCATCAAGATCCTGACTTGACAGCCATATTTATTACAGAAATTAAAACACAGGCATGTTAATGACATTTAAATTTCAAAACAATCAATGCCACTAAAGAAAACATTGATTTCCATGTTGGATTCTACGTGGACTGCAAAAAAATGCCAAAATACAGGAATTGCAGATATGGAAAATGAAAAATTATAATAATAAACTATAGGATACAAACTGTTGCACTCATTGTAAAGTTTTATTGCTGTGAGTTGAGAACATTAGTTATAGAGTAGAAACAATTTTGTTTAATCCTCCTTTACAATCATCCAGTTGCTAAGACTAGGAGTATCCCGCAAGTGCATAGAGACTCCCAAATGCCCGCAAATGAATGATAATTTCTTGCAAACCGGTCGTTAAATACATTGCACACCCCTCTCCCCCACATCCCTCCTACCCAACAAACACATATACGTTGTAGCGATGTCTGCACAACGTTGTATTTTTTCAAAGGCAACGTTGGCGCTTACGTGCTCGCTACATTGTCACAACGTAGAAATGTAAGACGTGAGAAGGCTGTAGCAACGTTGTAGTGCGACATTCAGCAACCGCGAGGCGGCGTTCTTACTACTTGTATTGATATTTTTTGTGGCAGTTTATCAATACTGCCTAGAATACAGGATAAGCAGCAATTCTTTTCCAGTATTGCTTAATATGAAAAATTGTTCAATTATTTTTCCTATTTAATTTAACAACTGCATGTGTAAACTTTAAAGTGTAAAAATAACACACAAATGAATATAATCAAACTTTTTATTATATATTTCACAACATTTAATACATACAGTACAAATCTAATTATAAACAAACAGTATAAAGTTTAGATTATATATATATATATATATATATATATATATATATATATATATATATATATATATATAATTAAACTAAAGGGTAAACAAACAAGAAAAGTAAACAAGAAATCATTAAAATGTAAATATATATATAAATAAATATATAAATTAAAATTCAGACACTGTGCAGTGAAGCTCTGGACTGGAGAATACAGCAGACCGGGGAGCGCAGCTGAAGACCAGGCATAGTTGTTGGTATGGAGAAAGCAGTCAGAGGAAGAAACAAATTCAACAGATAATCCAGCTTCAGAGATCCACAGCAGACACAAGTCAAAATAGGCAGTGAACAAGAGAGGACAGATGGAAACGACTATGACTAGCAAGTTATTGAACTTTCAGACATTTATTGTAATTTCATTACATATAAAATCTCCAGTGAGTAATTATGTAGCCTACTTTATTTTAATGCTTTAATAATATATCATATACCAAAATTACATACCATTAAATAAATTTAGAGATACAGGGAAAACAGGTTTGAGTTAACAGAAGTCAGAGTTAGTCTCCCAATACTTACTTAAATTATGAGAAGAGAAAGAAGAGGTCCTGTAGTTGTGGCGTTGCTCGCTGTAAATGGAATGTTAAAATTAGTGTCATTTCAATAACAGCTGTACAAAATAATAAAGTAATTTTTCATAAGCATGATCTATTTTCCACATTATGAACATGCTGTTTTAGGTAACATAACTACATTTAATAGTAAATAGAGTAGTATACTTCTTACCTTATTCAATTATTCTTTCCATAGATCAGGAATTACAGCAACACTGATCTGAGGTGAATTCAACAGCTGAAAAAATTCTGAAAGACAAGTTACATAAGTAATTTGAAAACAACAGTGAGTGGTTAAACAATAGAGTTTTATGCAACTTACACATACTTAAAATCCAGAAATTATCAATAGAAGATTACCTCCATGTGAAAATAGCCTGTTGAGCAAAGAAAAGAGTGGGTTTTAAATAAAACATCAAAAGATAAATCAAAATAAAAATGTAGACTAGCAGACCTTTTTATTAATATCTATATTAATTAGGCATATGAACATCAACTTATATACTTTAACTTATATAGCTAACCCAAAACTGACAATTCTGCCATTTAGCCTCATCCTTTATTTGTTCCAAACTTATTTAGCTTTTTTTCTGCTAAATAAAGAAGATGTATTAAATAAAGCTGGAAAACTGTAACTATTTAGTGTTTTCTTACTATGAAAGCAAATGCTTACAGTCTTTAGTGTTCAATAGAAGAAGGAAACTTAAAGGTTTGGAATCACTTATTATTTACAGGGCAAATAATTCGTGAGTACATATCATTTTTTGAGTGAACTGTTCCTTTAACGGGACGCAAACTGCACAGAGATGTTTTGTATTTAAAAGTTATTTTGTGTGTTTTGTAAAAAGTGGGTCGGCTCGTGTGATGAAGTATCATACTGACTGATCACTATGGATATGGAAAAAACTGAACTTCAAAAACATTATTGTCCATTTGACTAAAGACTAAGCGTAGGTAAATAATCAGGAAATGTTTTATCGAGAGATTTAACATAATAATTTTAATGTTGTCGCCGTCCGTGAACGGAATGCTGAAATGTTACTCGCTCGTAATAACTTCATTACGGCTTTTGTGTGTGTGTAATGTTGGAACAGATTGTTGTCGAAATCGTAGGTTTGTTTGAATATTCACGATTTACGTATCTTATTTAGCAAGAAGAAATAAAGCAATACTCACGTCTCCTCGGTCGTTGATGAATGAGACGACGGCTTGTTGAAATTTAAACTGATTCAGCTGTGACCAGTAAATGTTGTACAGTGGTTGTCCACGCCACCTGAGCACAACCTAAAGTATGCGGCCCTCGTGATGTTTAAATGGCAACCTTATGACATCGTTGTGACAACGTTTAGCAACAACGTAGAATCCTCAACCTTTTTGCAAGGTTGGTACAACGTTGTAGGAAGGTCGCTACGTTGAGGCAACGTTGTGTGTTTGTTGGGTAGCTCTTCAGGTAGCCTATGTCGCGCGCAACTCACCCCCACCGTCCTGCAGGTACGTCTCGCGCGTACACGCCCCTACTCAGATACTTCGCTCACTCCACCCCTGACACCCCTCAATGGGCCTGACACAGACACACACACAACGCGCTGCAGACGTTTTGGCCCCAACGGCCTTCCATACTGGAGCGACTCCCCTCAACCCGCATGATCCCGTTCATCAAATTTGCTTAAACTAAGCGTCCTAAAGTATTACTGTATTTCACAAGGATTCTGACACAACAACGCGAAGCATACGCTTTAGTTGCGATTAATGAGGAAACACGCTAAACTTGGAGGGATCATGCTGAAAGGCAGAGTAATGCCCTGTCTTTGACAGCTCGCGACTTCACCAGAGGCTTTCTGAGTACATTCACATAATACACCAATACTCCGATTTTAATGTGATTAAGATTATACTCTTAATAAAATTCTACCGTGCAGCCCAAGCAGTGATTTTATTACCTTAAAGGAACACCAAGTCACAAAATGCGAGGATTTTCTTTCTGTTCGCCATGCGGTATCAACTTACAACCGAAGTCGAAAGTTAAAAATGAAACACCCGAAATTTCATGAAACTTTGGAGAGCCTGGTGATGCGACTAATTTTTTTATACTGAAACTAGCCTTCAAAAAGTGCTTCCTTGGTCTTATCCACATTTATTGCATGTTAAACACACGTCCACCACAACAGGAAGTAAAAAAAAAACCTGCAACTGCGTTAATTGCGTTAATTTGTTTTAACGCGTTAATTATTTAAAATTAATCGCATGCGTTAACGCACTAATTTTGACAGGGCTAATATATATATATATATATATATATATATATATATATATATATATACACACACACGCACACACACACACACACTATTGTTCAGCGACTTGCCAAATTGACCTAACTTGTAATTAAACCAATTAACTTAGTTCTTTAAATTGCCCTTTAAGCAGAATACCTGTATCTTACAGGAGGGCTAATAATTTTGACTTCAACTGTTTTTAAAGGAACATTTCACTAAAACTGTTCTAATGTATTGATGTATTGCTTGCATAATTTAATAAATTTGTTGCAAATGTCAACTTTATCACAGCCCACCACCTTGTATCGGCTCTCATCAGCCTCCTTTCCCCAGTTCATTCTGAGAAATGTTTTACCCCTGAGGGCTGACCATCTTCTGAATGTGTACAGTATATGGGGGTCAACACACCCCCCCAGAGGTGTCATCCCATCATTCGCACAGCTACCATTGCACCATGTTTAACACATCTCCTGCTGGTTTCATCCACTGTCCAGCAGCACGGCTGTTCTGGAGCCGCTGGCCCATACATACATTTTTTTCTTTCTCCTTCCTGGCCTTTTGTTTTTGCCCCTGGAGCAGAACTCGACAGCTCTCAAAGGTGTTAGCCTCAGCCGTTACCTCTCAACGCTGTCCAAACTTTTATTCATAATGGGCGAGGACGTTGAGGGCACATTGAATAATTGGCCATTATTCACAGCCTGTAGGGAGCTCATCACACATGGCATAGTTTGGTGGTTTTTAATGTGGAGAAGGAAGGTCGACAGACTCTGACCCCATTACAGAGGTTAACGTTATATTTGTAATTAAACTGGATCATTTTGTCTCGTGAGAGGAAATTATCGCGCTTCACAGAGTATAAAATGTGATCATTCAGAGCGGAGCTTTTCACTTCACTGCTTTTTGGACTAAACAAAAGAAAACGCGACTCTTATTTATCAGCCAAATGACTGAGCCTTTTTCACAATGTGTGTTTTAATAAGTTCTTTAATCAGTTTTGAATATCTTGGTGGGACTTTTTGTTAAGCGTTCAGCTCATCTATGTTGATTTGTGTCTATGTTATTTTTTATGCCTTTAAGTTACAGAATCCACATTGACTTTAATGTTATCTGCCAAATGTTATCCATCTTTGACTCAGACCTTGATCATTTTTTGTTATGATCACTGGACTTGGTTAAGAGAAGTTAAACACAATGAACAGGACGTGAGCTCAGGTTTTTACACTATATCTGAGGCTGTGTGTCCCCAAGGCGTCACATTGAATGAAGCTGTTAGCCAGAAGCTGTGAGCGCATTGTTAGGGATGAAGGGTGGGGTGATGTTAAGAACTGCTTGCGTTATGGGCTATAGTGCTTTAACTAGGAGTGGCTTGTAGACAGGTGGTTGCCTAGTCACTGATGGTTTGTTAGTCTTGATAAATCTATTTTGTTTTTTGTTTGTGTAGTTTTTAAAGAGGGATGTGACTAGGCAGGTGAGGAGTAAGCTATAATGTAATGGATAGCTAATCCTCATTTCGGTTAATCTGTCTGTCTTGTTACCATCTTGTGCCGATTTGGATGCCAGTTTTACAACCTGAAATCAGAATAAAAACTCTTATGGGCTGAAGAGGCTCTGTTAGAGGTTTAGACGTATAATCTCTGGCAATAATTGGCTCATGAGCAGACAAAGGTATTAAGGAACTCATGAAGAGTAAGTCTAATATGCCATTCGTCTTTGGTTTTTTAATCAATAACAGTTTGAACTGGTCTAAATGTTTGCTAAATGTGTGGAGATGGGTTTTCGACTACAGAAATGTGTTGTTATCAACTTTTAATCTTCAAGACTTACGCTCTGTTGGCTGTTCATGGTCATCTTAGTTCCTAAACATCTCCCCCTCAAGCTGTCTGCAGACACAGCTGTCAAATCTTGGCTTGGGTTATAGTTTTGGAACCCCATGAACAATAAACCCGGATTTCTTTCAGAGGTTTATTTAGAATTAGACACTTAATCTGATTTAACAGTTCGATAAGTAGACTGATCTGAGTATAGACATTCTTCACTATGGTTCATCCTCTGTTGTTTACGTAAAGCCTTTAATATGTTTTATGTCGGTAATCTCTGTTAAATCAGAGAGGCCACTTGTCAGGTAGGTGATTGAGTTTAACCTAACGTGTTATAACTTAAATATATAAGTCATATTTCTCACAGTTGTCATCAATCAGTCTTGGTTTATTTGATTACAGTATCTTCTTATATCAGTAATCATGTATTTAGTTGTTGTGTCATTTTATCTGAAGATTTAAAGTGCTAAAGTGACCATTAACTTGTTAATCAAATATGCACAACTTACTTGGTGACTCCCTTTTGTAATTTACGTTTCAAAACACAAACATCAAAGTAGTTTCATGTAATATCAAGGAGGACATTCATATTATTATTTAATAAAAGGATTTTCTTAGAAAAAAACACCCTCTAACATGTCATTTTATTTTATTTTTTACACTAAAAAGGTTTTATTTATGTATCTCGAATGTTATGAATCATTTGATTACACTATCATGACCGTCTAAATTACATTTTTATGGTCATTTTGAGTCTTTACACTTTGCCTCTATCCTCTATCAGATGGTTTAACTAATTTATTCTTCTAAACATTTTAATAAATAAAATGGTCAGAATAAGTATGTTGTTTATTTAAAACAATAAACAATTTCATAAAAGATAGATTTGACAATTTATTCTCAAAAAAGTTATTTAAAACATTTAATATGCTTTCTATGCACTTAAAAACAATCGGATCAAAATTGGAGATTGTCTTGAACCATTTACATTGTAGGCTACTTTTATATCTGAAGATCCAGTCACTAATGAATTGCTCTTTAATGTGGTTTAAAGTACTTTAGTGGCCATTAGTTTAATCAGTCAATGACTAAAACTGACTTGGTAACTCGCAATAGTCATTTGCCTTTGGTATCCTAAAAATCAGCCGTAATCACACTCTTAATTTTTAGGCCAAATTAAAAGATGTTTTAAACTGCAATGCCTCTTTTAGTACTTACAGACAAAAAAATCCCACATGTATTTGCAACTATTAATTTCCATATTCATGTGCATTGTGGTCACATAAGTGTATCTGAAGATTTAGCCACTAATGAATGACTCTTTCATGAAGTTCAAAGTGCTGGAGTGCCCATTAGTTTAATCAGCCAAAGACTTCAGAGTGATTTGGCAACTCCCTATTGTCATTTCCATTTGGTAAGAAATTGATTTCTAAATTATGAGAGAGTAATCATGTGTTGTTTGTTAATTAATGTAGTTAAACATTGCTGTTGACACTCTTCAGTAAATCAATAAAATTGACTTTTTAATAGAGATGCTGATGGATCTTACATTGAACGATGGGGCCTTTAGGGAGGTCAAACAGATCTGGATTCTTTAGTCTTACAGTAGATGCATTGTTCTATTAAAATTTGCACCTTTAGAAAACAATCTTTAAATCTTGATTAAAATTATTTTACAAACTGTCACCTTTTCATTTTAAGTAATTCCAAAAGTCATGGCGACAGATATAGGTAGGTTTACTTACTAGCCATTATTTTTGATCAAAGATGAGCATTAATTGCAATCAAATGGCCTTTTTGTTTTGTTTTGTTTTGTTTTTTTGGAAAGTTACAGTGCACAATTTCGCAGAGGACCTGTGGATTCAGAATTGCAGGATTATTTTTGTGACCTGTAAATGCATTGGTGTGTTTGTGTGCGTGCGTGCGTGTGTGAGAAATTGATGTTTTCGGTAGGCCTATTTTCTATGCACAATATAATTCTGCTTGATTTTGAAGTACAACGAAACTGTGCCTGAAGTTTCAGTAAGACAGTTCTGTAAATCAGCACTGCATAAGAGAATCTTTTATTCATTACATTTTTTATTGTTAACCCTTTAAGATCTGATTTCCAGACCATCAGGCATATGATTTCTTAGATTATTCAGACCTAACTTGAATTTTTTCTGCATGATTCAGATAATGGCAACGTCAATCAGCCAGACAATAGATAACAGCCTCTCATTATCCTGATGTGCTGCTGTTCATATACAGTATGACCTCACATTCCCCTTGTTTTGTGATGTAAGTGCATATGAAGCTGTCTGATCCCTCCATGTGTTTTTGATTTTGCTGTAGG